TTCACACCGAATGAACAAATGAAAAAATGGCATTGTTTCTCTTTGTTTCTTTGTGTCCTATATGCGAATAAACGCTGACAAAATCTCTTTATATCTATAATATTGCTTTATTTTTAAGAAATGCAATGTGCAGTGTATCATCATGCTTCACTATCATGGACGAACTTTGTCCGTGTGACAGTAAAAGAAGAAAACCATATATATAGTGCTATAATGATAATTAAACATATGGACAAAGAATAGTCAAGTCATAGTAACAAGAAGAAAGAACATTATTAATAGTAAAATCACATTGGCATTATAAAGGATAACCATATGAGAGAAAGGAAATATAGAAAAAAAGAACATACCAAAGAATAAGAAACATAAAAGGATTGTGATTATATTTATCAACTTTCACAGCTTCCTATTTTATTTCGTTTTAGTTTATAACTTGTAATTGATCAAAATTGAAATTAGGAAAAGACTAGCTATACAGAAAGTAGAGTTCTGCAGTTGCTAAAATTACTTGGAACTGAAAATGCACTTCCGATGCGAAGTAGTAAAAATGAAAAAGAAAACGATTCCGATTATATTCTCAAAAGCGAAAATTTCAACTCATCACGATTTTTGTTTTCTGACTTTCATAACGAATTGACAGTGCGAAAATCCTGAATAGAAGTTCCGTAACAAAAAATCAGGGATATCGTAACGAATTTTACAGAGCGATCATAACCGATGTTTTGATATGTACCATTTTAGACTATCACAACCTCAGTTACAGGCATTTCGTAATGAATTTTACAGGGTTATCGTAGCCTCTTATACAAGGCTGTTATACTATACTTTACTGAAGAAATATAAGTGATAATATATAGGGACAAGACGATTGGTTACGACAGCCCTAATCTTTCGTTACGATAACCCTATAATTTAACACAAACACGCTATACTTTTATGGTACGACAACCTTGAATGGACGGTTATGTCTCCACTATAAAATTTGTTACGACAGCCCTGATTTGACACGCTTACGTCCTTTGAAATATATGATGAAAAATTCTATTTTAGCTGTTATGACAGCCCTGTATAATTCGTTACGAAATCCATGTAAGTTCTGTACGTAAATAAAGCACGATTAACATATATTTCATTACGAAATCCCTGTTGCTTTGTTGCAAAAGCTCTGCAACTGTTACGAGCTTCCTTTATTAACTGTTACGATCGCCCTGTAAATTTTGTTACGACATCCCTTTTTTTAAGCTATCCCTATCTTTTATGTTACGAAATCTCTGATTTTTGCTGTTTGTTCAATTCACCAGTGACGAGTTGAAACTTTCTCTCTCAAAAAATCATGTGAAACCAGAACCATTAAATCCCCAGATATATGCAGAAATTTTGAAACTAATTTTGCGAAATCTTAACTCCTGAATTGTTGACATTATAGGCGGCTCACACTTTATTACTTAGATAAAACAACATTTTACATATGTACTGGAATCTTTAATTTAAAAACTTAAAGAATCAAGATTTCTCAAAACAGGTTTTACTTTTTTTTCATTTGCCTATGATTGAATACGGTTCCGATTCCGTTGTCGGCTCCAGTTTTTTTTTGGAATCGTCGAACGCTAAAAAGTCTGCACGAAAATTGAACATAGATATTAATCCAATAGACATATGGTGCTTGATGATATAAAACCACTAAATAAATTATGGCTATTCACAAATCAATTTATATCTTTTTCTTTACCTATATATCTTCCTTTTGAAAGAAATGCTTTTCATTACACGTAGACAATAGCTAAAGATAAGTTGTTTTAGGTTTACAACACAAGCAGATAGATTTGTTTGGATGAGCTAATGAAACAAATAATTTTATTCGAAATGGTAGGGCTCGAAAATAGGCCAATTTTTCGTAGTTCGACTAGGCTCAAAGTGGCCTAAATATTGTGTAGACTCATCCGGCCCGATTCACGTTTCGCTCAGCCCGGCTCAACAAGCTCAAAGGATATTTCCTTTAGCAAGATTTTTTCCCAATATAATCTAAATATCACTTCATTGTTTTACTACGTGTCAAAGATTTTCTGTACATGTAATTCTGAATATATAAGCAAATGTTTTTAACTAAATTTTGCTTGTTTTGTTTCTTTTCTTTTTGTTTGACTTTAAATTTTGTCGTTGTCCAAACACATGATCGGTGAATAATTTTTATCATTTCTTAATGGTTTACTTCAATACACTATTATCTGTTTAAAACTATTTATTGAAAATATTGGATTTCATATTACAATGCATTTCAGAGATAGTTACAGAATTATGATTTCATGATCATTTAACTCTTAATTATCTCAAATATCTGATATATAATGAATGAAAATTTGTATGAATGGATTATATTTAGATCAGTAGAAAAAGCAGCTGTTAAATATGAAATATTTGTTATCATATTATGCCCACATTTTTACATTGAGGACGACTATTAATTTCATATAGGAACATTTGAGCATGGTTGATTAATTCTTTGTTAGTATAGAATGATGAAATTAATGTCACTTATTACGCAAAAGTTCATTAGTTTCATTGTGATATAGTTATGATGAGTAACATAGTTCAATTCCAAAATAGCATGCGCGCTAATTTCTACTATTGTCAAAAGTAGAAGCAAAGAATAAAACTTTGTTTTTTTGCAGCACAAATGTGAGAAATCTATTATTTTTAGATGATCTTCATTTCTAGTAGTATACGATATTGCTCTATTAAAATAAATAAAATAACGAGTCAGACGAAGCTTGATTTACATAAATATCGTCTTTCTAAAAATGAATTCTCTTCAATACTTATAATAAACATAGAAAAGATTTTTCATAACTCTTTATCTAGTTCCGTTATACTATTTATATCGTTAAAATAAAAGATAAGGGCATCTATCACAATAAAATGGAAACATTTTTTGTTTTGATATTACGAAATATTGAATTACATATTAATGTCATTGAAAAATAATAAATTATACATATTTGTACAAGTTAAATGAACAACAATAGTGTTCATTTTAAATTGACTAATCATTTGAATATAAAGCGATAATCCATAGAAATTTTAAATCTACTACTACTACAAAGACTTATTCGAAGAGAGAATAAACTATAGATTCGAACAAAGTGTCACATGACTAATTAAATGGAGAGGAATAGATAAAAGTCATTTCACATCTAACTATTATTCATTTTTAGATTTGGTGCAACAACAGACAAGTATCTATCGTTACACTTGTTTGTAAACGCTATTTTCTATTGAAGACAATACTTTTGTAATGGCATCTTCAATGAACAAATTTATTGGCAATGAATCAAATAAAGATGAAGAAACATATCAACTTCTCGAACAATTTGATCACATTCTTAAACGATCTGAAACAGATATCAGTTCAAATAAGCCATGTCAGGAAGTATGATTTTTATTTCTATATGTATGTCTTCTATCATGATTGCTTAAAGAAAATGTGGATTCTTGATGAAAAAGGTGAAGAAGGATTGAAAATTATCAAAAAAGAAATGACTTATGTGTCTGATATTTATAAAATTTTTGATGAAATTCTAGGTAAAATAATCTGCACTATTTAAAACTATCACATCTTCACTTTCTTTTTCTGTTCCATTTAGTAAATGCTGCTGATAATAAACAAAGTGATTCAACAATGACATCCATCGAAATAGATATCAATCAGTAAGTTTATTTTGAAGAAAACAAACACAAATTCTCTCTTCTATACTGCCTTTTTTTAGAGAAAAAGGTGAAATAAAGATTTGTAATGATGGTCGTGACATTCCAGTTCGTAAATGGGCTCAAGATGAATCAATCTATATTCCCACATTAATTTTTGGTAAACTTCTCACATCAGATAACTTCAATGATGATCAAAAAGGAGTTACTGGTAAGATTGAAACTTATCGAATTTTTTTTTTCATATTATCTATGACAATAGGTGGTCGAAATGGTTACGGTGCCAAAGTAACAAATATTTTTAGTACAAAATTTATCGTTGAAACATGTTCGAAGGAATATAAAAAATCATTTAAACAAGTCGATTATTTCTATTTTTATCTATCAATTATCTGATGAATAGTTTGATATAGACTTGAATAAACAATATGCGTGATCCACAAGATGCAATCATCACTAAAACAAGTGATAATCGAAAAGAATTTACTCGTGTTACATTTACACTCGATTTAAAACGTTTTCAAATAGAAAAATTCTATAATGATCTTGTGGCATTATTTAAACGACGTGCTTATGATGTAGCCATATCAACTGATTGTAAAATAACACTTAGTGGCAAACGTATTCCAGTAAGATTTCTGTGTTTATTCAATTGATAAAAATCTCTTGTCTTGTTTATGTCAAACAGGTGAAACCAATTAGCTACAGAACGTGAACATTTCGGTTCAATGTGTCCATTGAAAGATGATGAAAATTTCATAAAAGACATTATTTAAAAAAAACTGGTATTGTTGAATCTGTACTTAATTGACTTGAACATCGACAAGATGCTAAATTATAAAAACAAAATACTTCAAAAAGATCGAAACTCAAAGGTATTCCGAAATTAGATGATGCAAATGATGCTGGAACAAAAAATTCTTAATATTGTACATTAATTGTAACCGAAGAAGATTCAGCTAAAGCACTTGCTGTAGATGGTCTTGATGTTATTGGTCATGATCATTATGGTGTTTATCCATTGAAAGATAAAATGTTAAATGTTCAAGAAGCAATAACAAAAAAAAACAATGACAGAAAATAGTGAAGTTGCACAATTAATTAAAATTTTTGATTTAAATTATGGAGAAAAATATGCTAATAGAAATGGTTTATCAAAATCACATTATGAAAAATTAATGATTCTGGCTGATCCAGATCGAGATGGTAGTCATATTAAAGATCTTATTATTATTTTTATTCATTATAAATGACTGAATTTACTCAAACATGATTATGTTAAAGTATTTATTACGTCAATTCTTAAAGTAAGAAATTATACAAAACAATATTTTGAGAGCAAAGCTGATTCGTCTCGGCACACTGAACTAAGTCTACTAGGAATAGAGATGTGCAGAGCTAAGTTTTTCTTTTTTTTTAGTTCCGATTCAGTTTTGGTAACTTCTGTTTTCAATAGCCCCGGTCTCTTTCGTAGTAAAGTTTTGTCTTTTTGACCTTCAGCTAGTGGCGGAGCCAGGAAAAGTTCTGGGAGGTTTAGTTCCGACCATTGCTGCAGTTCAAAATTACTGGTATTCATGTCAAAAAAAAAAAGATATATGCATATTGTTTAAATAACTTTTGATAGAAGCATAGTAAAGGCCTACGATCATCACCATTGAAGAAAAAGGAGATAACAATGCATCAGATCCTATCTGACAGATTTTCTAGCATAGTTTAGATTTTTTCGTCGAGAAAACTCAGTTTTTGAGATGAATCGACACAACAAACTTTTACCAAAATGTGCGAAAAAACGTACTTATTCTGTGTGTTTTATTGAAAAATTGCTTAATTTCTCGCAAGTAAACGCCTATGGGTCATTATGAACTGGTCCTAATAATGTTCATCTTGCTCTGTTTTACAAATCTTTGATCGATAGTTCTAATGCATGTCTGAAAATCGAAAATCCATTTTGATGACTTCACACTCGAGATGAATTTTCATAACACTCAATCCAAAATTCTAAGAAAACATGTCAGAAAATCTGTAAAACAGGGTCAGATGCACCGTTTCCCTCCTACTTCGAATGATGAAATCATATATTTTATCCCTTGTAGATCTCTTGATAAGCATCATTTTACTGAAGTTATACACTCGCATGTTGTGGCTGAAACAGTTAAAGTAAATTCTTTGTACAGATGTCTGTTTATAGGCATAAAAAAACAAATGATAAGTCATTTTTACGAATATTGTTCGACAAAAACGGGAATGAATATTAAAGAATGGCATGTCCTGAAGATATGAAATGCACGATTTCTTCATAAACATCAACCTAGATTCTAGTGAATAGTTCAGAATAACCATTCTCATTTACATCTTGCTTGATTTTTCAAGTTTTTCAAAAGAACAACTAAGTTCAATAATTTTCTCTTGAAGGAGTCTTAAAGATTTCTGGAGGGAGTTCAGCCCTCTCCAGTCATCCACTGGCTCCGCCACTACTCCAGTCCTATTCCGATGACCAGTAATAAATTGGTTCTACACATTTAATGTCTTACAATATATTCTTTTTTTTAGGCTATAAAAGGTAATGATGTAATTCCATTTTATTCAATGTCTGACCTGAATTTGAACAATAGGAAGCATCAACATCAAATTAGCAAAAGTAGAAATGCAAATACTACAAAGGTTTTTTTTCTCTTCATATAAAAATAATAAATATATTTATTCGAAATTTCAGGTTTGGCTAAATCTACAGCTAAACAAGGAAAAGAATATTTTTCAAATATAGATCGTTATCGTATTATATTTAAATATGATTTAATAAAAGATGATGTAGCTATACAATTAGCTTTTAATAGTTCATTAAGTGAGGATCGAAAAGATTTGATTAAATGGCATACAGAAGATATTAAACAACAACGTGAACAAAATTTACCAATCGATTATTTATATAAAAAAAAGATACAAAACAAATTAATTTAAATAAATTTATTAATAAAGAATTTGTTCTTTTTTCCAAATCAAGTGCTGAACAAGCAATTCCAAGTATTATGATCAATTAATCTATATAAAAATCTCTTCTTTTTTTCTCTTAACGTTTTATCTTTAACCCTTTGAGTCCCGGTGGTACACATATGTACCACCTTAAAAATTTTCTAATTCTCGAGTTTTTGAAAATCTTGGAGAAATATTTT